TTCAAGAGGGCTATCAATGTTAACATCAAGATGCTCAACAACTAACCGCACTTGCCACACAAACCTGGTGACCTGAGTTCAATCTCTGGAACACATATGAAGAGGTAAAGAAAACAGACTCCACAGAGTTGTCCTCTGACCTCCACACATCCACTGTGGTGGACAATATTTTCTTCGAATTTTAAGAAATTATAATTAATATTTTATGTGTGTAGTATGATAGTTACTAACCACATCTGTCTACTTATATTTAGAGTAATAAAATTTTAAATTAGTCCCTGCAGTGGTGGCGCATACCTTTGATCCCAGCACTTGGGATTACACAGCCTGATCTACAAAGAGAAATCCTGTCGCGAAAAATATAAATTAATTAATTAATTAATTAATTTAATTAGTTCCTTGAATACTAACAGCCACATTTCAGTTACTCAATGGTCATATGTGTTCATGGCTACTATGTTTGCAAGCACAGATACAGAATATCTTTTTTTTTTAATTTGGTTTTAGAGCCTGCCCTAGATCTTGCTCTGTAGACAAGACTGACCTCGAACTCACAGAGATCCACCTGCCTCTGCCTCCCGAGTGCTGGGATTAAAGGCGTGCACCACCAGCGCTGGCCAGAATATTTTTATCAACACAGAAAGTTTTGCTGAATAGCCTTGTTCTAGAAACAATGAAGTATTTATAGAGAAAAATATGTGCTATCTGGGTTGGGGTAGTAGAAAAGGATATAGACAAAAGAAGGGAAAAAAACTAAAAAGGAAGCTAGCTGTTCATGATTTTTAATATCAAGTGATAGTACATAGGAACTGATTTATTATTCTTTTCATTTTTATGTTGGAAGAGTTCCACAGTAAAAGAAAATTAAAAAAGAAAAATAAATAGTTTACTTAAAACTAAGGTTAAGACACTTAAGACACTGTCTCAAAAAAAATTCTTAATTTAAAAATGAAATAAATGAGTAAATTAAAAAACAAAGGACGGGCAGTGGTGGCGCACGCCTTTAATCCCAGCACTCGGGAGGCAGAGGCAGGTGGATCTCTGTGAGTTCGAGGCCAGCCTGGTCTCCAAAGCAAGTTTCAGGAAAGGCACAAAGCTACACAGAGAAACCCTGTCTCGGAAAAAAAAAAAAAAAAAAACAAAAATCAACAACAACAACAAAAAAAAAACCACTAAGGTTAATCAGGCTGGAAAGATGGCTTGGTGGCTAAAAGGTACTTGCCACCAAGCCTGATGACCTGAGTTTGATCCATTGGGCCCCAAAAGGTAGAAGTTATTCTCTGCCTCTGACCTCCATATGGGAACACACATATGCATACATCACACACACACACAATGAATGCAATAAAAATTTTAAAATGGACCAGGCAGTGGAGGCACACGCCTTTAGTACCAGGACTCGGGAGGCAGAAGCAGGCGAACCTCTGAGTTCAAGGACAGCCTGGTCTACAGAGTGAGTTCCAGGGCAGCCAGGACTGCACAGAGAAAACCTGTCTGGAGAAAACCAAAACTAAAAAAAAAAAAAAAGGGGGGGGGGGGTAGGGATATGGCTCAGCAGTTAGCACTAGTTCTTGCCAAGGACTCAGCTTTGGTTCCCAGCACCCACAGAGCAGCTCACAACCATCTATAACTCCAATTCTGGGGTCTAATGTTCTCCTCTGGTATCCATGGGCACCAGGTACATACATAGCGCACATGCAGGCAAAACACACACACACACACACACACACACACACACACACACACACACACACACACGTTAAATTAAATAAATAATTAAAATAATACTAGGATTATCCTATTATGGAATACGCCATGCATTGACAACTGACAAAGCTTTTGTAATGGAGAACAGAGTTCTTCACTCTGATCTACTAAATGATAATTTCTTCTTTTCAGTTTTTTTGGAGTGTGTGGGGTATATGCATGTGTACATGCATGTGTGCACATCTGGAAGCCAGAAGAGCACATCTGAAGTCCTACTCTACTACTTTCCACTTTATTCCTTTGAAACAGGTTTCTCACTGGACCAAGAACTCCAGAGTTTCAACTAGCTTGTCAGCAAGCCCCCTAAACTCTTGGTGAGGTTATAAGCATGGGTGCCACACGTACCTTTTTATGTGAGTACTTGGAATTTGCACTCAAGTCCTCATACTTACATATGTGCTATCAGCCATTGAGCCACCTCCTAAACTCCCATCCTAAGAGACCTTCAACAAGAAATTCTGACTTCTCTAAGGGACTCACTTTTCTTTCTTCTTTTTTAGATTTGTTTATTTATTTGTTTGTTTGTTTATTTATTTATTATGTATACAGTGTATACAGCATTCTGTTTGCGTGTATGCCTGCAAGCCAGAAGAGGGAGCCAGATCTCATTACAGATGGTTGTGTGCCACCATGTGGTTGCTGGGAATTGAACTCAGGATCTCTGGAAAAACAGCCAGTGTTCTTAACCTCTGAGCCATCTCTCCAGCCCCAAAAATTGGGATTTTTTTTTTTTTTTTTCCTGAGACAGGGTTTCTCTGTGTGGTTTTAGCACTTTTCCTGAAACTCACTCTGTAGCCCAGGCTGGCCTTGAACTCACAGAGATCCACCTGCTTCTGCCTCCCGAGTGCCGGGATTAAAGGTGTGCGCCACCACCGCCACCACCCGACTTTTCTTTTCTTGTTTTTTTGTTTGTTTGTTTTGTTTTGTTTTTGGTGTGTGTGTGTGGGGGGGGGGGTGTTTGGTTTTTCAAAACAGGGTTTCTCTGTGTAACAGCCCTAGCTGTCCTGAAACTCGCTCCGTAGACCAGGCTGGCCTTGAACTCACAGAGATCCAACTGCCTCTGCCTCCCAAGTGCCACCACCGGCTGGCCTGGGACTAACTTTTCTTAATTGCAAAATAAGAAATTTATATACCTGCCTTGCACAGAGCTGTTGTAAACATCAAAAGTTCTGTCTCCCAGCATTCCCTACTCTCTGCTCCCAATTAACTCAAAGTAAAATATGGTGGTACCTTAGATAGCAGGCTCTCCTTAACTGGTATCTTTAATGCTCTGCATACAGTAGGAGTTTATTGTAATCCATTGGGGAATTACTCAGTAGAACACCACAAGAAGTACTGCCAAAGCAAACACTCAAACAAACACTCAAACAAACCAAAGGCTCAGTTATTTGGGGGGCAAGAAATGATAAACTTCTAGTGTCAGTAGTCCTTTCATAACTGCTTTTAATAAATTCTGATGCCAACAATGTATCAGGCACTGTGCTGGCTGCCTTCTTGCTTCTCAAAAAGAACAGAGGCCCAGGCTCTAGATGTGAGCCCTTAAGCAAAAGTAAATATTCCAAGCTAGGAATCCAGAGCTGTTTCCCAAGAACTAGTCTCACTCACTCAGACACAGAAACAAGCTTGTTATTTTGTCTGCTTCTGATGTCCAGCCAGACTCCCTGTCCCCACTATTCTGCATGCATCATATATTTTCTCCTTGAGAATGTGCTATTACCTTAAAAGAAAAAGGTCTTTCCTTCTCCAAGTCTTACCAATCTTTCATTATTGGACATTATATAACCTTTGTTTTGGCAATAGTTCCCTTTTGTTAAAATTAAACTAGTTTCTTTTTTTTCCTTTCTACTTAGACTCCATTTAGTATCAGTAGCACACAAAGAAGCACCATATTGGAGATGGTGAGAAGGCTAAGTAGGTCAAAGGTGCTTGCCACCATGCCTAATGACCCCAGAATCTACACGGTGTAAAAAAATAGCCAATTCCCAAAAGCTGCTCTCTGGCATCTATATATGTGCCATGGACACACAGCATTCCCACATACACAATAAATAAAGATGTAATTTTTCAGGTTGTACCAGATCCTCTACACTTGTGATAGATTGCCTCCACAGAAACACTGTATACTCCAGTGGGCACAGTGCCTAGCCCAGTGCTGGAAAACTGTAACCATCCCACTAATGTTTACTGAGTAAATGACTGCCTAAAGCATCCTCCAAAAATAACAAGTACATGATGTCCACAATCCATATTCCCAACCTCCCTGAGCTTATGCTAGAGAAATTTCAGTTGTGTCAGCAGAGGATATAATGTAGAGCGATATGCTGTTTGGCTCCAGTATCTGGGAGCTGGTGATTACTCTAGACTTGACCTTTACATAATTACAGAAAGAAGTCCCTAATAAGTCAAGATAGGTGTGCACATAGCCATTCATGGAAGATGAGGTGGGTGGTTTATTGCTCCTACTCTGTTTCTTTCAGGAGAACTGTCTGGGATGCCAATCCATGTATGGAGAGGCCTTCCTTCCATGAATTCTTACTTTTTCCTACCCATGTGCAAGGTCCATTCAAAGAATTTTGGAAGTAGAAGTATATTTAAAAGGCTTTGAGTTCAGTCTCCACCACCACAAAACCAAACCAAACAAAAAACCCTAAATGGGCAGTCAAGGTGCTGTCCAAATACATAAACCTGGTTAAAAATAAAAAATAAAAAATAAAAAAAAAACACTTTCCTTGATATACCTATATTCATACATGGAATTCTTCAGCTCCTTATTGAGCTGGTTCAAAATAATACATTTAAAGAAGAGACAGTGCAATAAGCTAAACAAAATATCCCTTGACACTCTGGGTCTTTTTTTAAAATTTCACTGTAACTAGTCCTCTGGGACATACTCTTATCTCAACAACTAGTCCTACACCTATAATATTTCAAAGTCAAAGACAAGGCAAAGAAAATCAATGATTCTATCTCCCCATGCCTCTCTAACCCAATCGACATTCCTCTTTCAAGGCTAAAGTCAGAGCCTTGGGCTTAGACAAAAATAAAGCAGTACAGCAGTTGACTCACACCACCAGGCCTGATCCTATCTCTGATACCAGAGCAAGATTTCCCAAAATGATGCAAGGAATCAAATGCACGGATCCCAGACACTTCAGAAAAAGGCACATCACTAAGACTGAAGGATGATGGAGAGAAGAGGCAGGAAGGTAGAAGAGAGGGCAGCAGATGCTTACCTCCTGAGGGAGTCTTCCTCAGAGCTTTCTTCAGGCATATCTTGATGTAAGGCCTCCTGTGATACAGTTCCAGATCTGTTGGGCTGGGTATAAATTCGTTCCCAGTGGCCTGTTTCCTGGTTAAAGGCCACCCCCACAGTCCTCTCCTCTTGTGGACTAGCTGAGCTGCTCAACTCCAGCCTGCTGGAGCTAGGTGTTTGGCCCTCAGTCCGCTCAAGAGGTGGCAACTGGCTGCCACTTGGTGGCATGCCCTCAAAGGTGGTAGAGACGTGCCAGGAAGAGCTAGCCTCGCCAGATGAGTAGTTAGGTGTGGTTCTTTCCCAACGCAGGGTATCATTGTTGAAGGTCAGAAGATTATGGCAAGCACGGCAGCGATTAAGATGGCCCCGAGACAGGTTAGAGTTGTTCTCACTGCTGTGTGGGGTGGGCTGATGAGAAGGACCTGGCCTCTCAGATTCAATGTTATTGTTGAGCATTTCCTGGGCCTGTTGGGTCTGGGGAGCTTCCCCACTCAGGCTCTGATCCAGTTCCTGCAGCCTGTCATACTCCAAAAAGAAGCGTCTCAGGTCACACTGAAGCTCATGGCGAATGCTGCCCGAGTTGTTTTGGCTAGAACCATTCCCTCCATCTGACTCAGTAGCCAGTCCTGATGAGGGAAAACCCCTTCCTTCTGTGGCTGAAGTGTACACAGACGCCTGAGAGCCACCCTCCTGCTGTCTCAGCACAGACAGCAGACTCACTGAGGAGGCACTGGTCCTGGGCGGGGGCATAGATTCTACCTCAGAGCGGGAGTTCAGAGTGAGTACTGTCCGGGTCCACTCAGAACCTGTCAGCCCAGGGGCTAGTTCTCTGTGATACCTAGAAGGGTGGCTAGACAAAGGGCCCCCCAGAGAGCGACGGGTAGGACCCAGACTGAGGTTGCGGAGCGTGTTGCCCGCAGTGCTGCTCTGGACTGTACTGAAGGCAGATGGCCGGTTCAGGAGGCCCTGGTCCTGCTGCGTTGATGAAGCCTGCTCCGGGGGATGGAAGGGCTCGGTCTGTACAAAAGAAAAGGAAGGGGTAGTAGCTCTGGCAGAAGCAGGGGGGGCACTGTCCTGGTGTGGCAAGAGGGAAGGAACTCGAGTGCCAGCACAGCGGCTGCAAAGGCACAGGATCCCAGGGTGCTGGCAGCACTCAACTGTGGTGGGGTAACTGACCCGCTGTCGGAGCCTGATGTAAGCGGAAGTCCTGGGACGCTCCGTGGAGGGCTGAGGGGGAGGCGGTGGGGGTGAGGGGGGTAGCAGAATCTTGTACTGTGCTTTGCTCTCCCACCTGGATGCCAGAGGAGCGGGAGGACAGCATATGCAGGAAATTGTGAAGGAGAGGTGTCCGGCGAACTGGCTGTGATTGCAGGAGGGCACGCTGGCGGTAGTGAGATAATTCTGTTCCATCTATAGGAATCTCTGGTTCGTCATCACCCTGCAACATGGCCCAGCAGGAGGAGAGGGTAGAGCAGGACAGTTAGGGAGAACCTCCAAACAAATTAGGAGAAACTTAAAACTGACTGGGAATCATCCAAGAAGAACCACCTTCATAAATAAGCAAAAATTCTCTCCCCATAAGGTACAGAAAACTAATCGGCTTCAGACTCAAAACCATCATATGGTATTAAATTATTCATTTCTAACTGGCAACATATCTGAATGAGTACAGCCCGCATAACAATGATTTTATAAAAGGCATCTCTGTGACACAGAAGCAATGAGTGGAAACAATATGTCAATCAGTCAGAGGCACATGGGTGACAAGCATGATGAAGACAAGTTCTTTCTTTTCTATTTTTTTTTTGGTTTGTTTTTATTTTATTTTACGCCTGAGTGTTTTTGCCTGCATGTATTTATGTGCACCACATACGTGTCTGGTGCCCACAGAGATCAGAAGAGGGAGTTAGATACCATAGAACCGGAGTTACAGATAGTTGTAAACTATTACATGAGTGCTGGAGATCAAACCAGGGTCCCCTAAAAAAAAAACCAGCAAGTGCTAAGCCATTTCTCCAGCCTCTGGTATTTTCTTTTTCTTTTTCTTTTTTTTTTTAAGATTTCTTTTTAGGAGCTGGAGAGATGGCTCAGAGGTTAAGAACACTTGTTACTTTTGCAGAGGTTTGGTTTCCAGCATCCACATGGTGGTCCACAACTGTCTGTAATCCCAGTTCTAGGAGACCTAATGTCCTCTTCTAGCCTCTGTGGTCACTGCACACACACAGTACATAAACACACATCTGAACAAATTGCCCACACAATATTTAGACACATTATGGTTTGTTTGTTTGTTTGTTTGTTTTATGTATATATGTGGGTCTCTGTTGTGTGTATGGGAATAGGCCAGAAAAGAGCACTGGATCCCTTGGAGCTAGAGTTATGGACAGTCATAAGCAGCCCAACATAGGGATTGAGAAGGGAACTCAGGTCCTCCTCAATAGCAGTATGCTGCTCTCAACAGCTGAGTCCTTTCTCTAGCTCATGATACAGTCACAAGGGCTAGAAAACTGACTCTACTGTCAAAACTGTGACTTTTGATGATATCATCAAAAACTAACTAAAATCTCGATGGAAAAAATTACTGGAGCATTAAGAATTAAAATATAATCAGAATATATAACAGACATGTAATAATAAGGAAAGAATAACAGCATCTGAATTAGAGCTCTAGCTTAGAAAAGAACTCTCAGTTCAGATGGAGTTGGAACTGCTAGACTCTTACCTGCTGATTAGAAGGGTTAACAATTGCTGTCAGTAAGTAGTGTCCAAGTGGATCAAATCTCACCAAACTGAAATCACAACCAGAGAAAAACAAAGACCACGTTAACTGAGAAAATGGAAACTGTCAGACGACCCACTTCATGCTCTTTCAAAACTCTTTCTTTTCTTTCTCTCTGTCTCTGTCTCTCATTCTCCTGGAGATAATCTATGTTTCCCAAATCAAAGTCAAACTCACAAATGTTCCTGCCTCAGATTCCTGAATGCCAGAATTCTAAGTATATTACCACACCTAACTAGCTTTTCAAAAAATTTTAAAGACATTAAAATAAGGCTTTATACTGCTTCCTAATATAAAGAAATATGTATTAAGAAAAAGATTTCTCTTTCCTTTTTTTAAATTTATTTATTTTTATTTTATGTGCATTGGTGTTTTGCCTGCATGTACGTCTGCGTGAGGGTGTCAGATCCCCTGGAACTGGAGTTACAGACAGTTGTGAGCTGTCATGTAGATGCTGGAAAATTGAACCTGGGTCCTTTGGAAGAGCAGTCAGTGCTCTTAACCACCATGCCATCTCTCCAGCCCCTCACTTACTTTCTTTTTTTGAGACAGGGTCTTATACAGCCCAGGCTAGCTTACAAATCAACACATAGCTGTAGGTAACCTTGAACTTTGATCCTCCTACCTCTATCCACCCAGACTTGGGATTACAGGTGTACACCAACACACTCACTTTATGTGGTACTGGGGGTCAAACTCTGAGCTTCATTGATGCAAGACAAGCCACTCTACCAACTGAGCTACATCTTCAAGCCATGATTTCAGTTTTGAAAAACACCCAGGCTTGCAATACAGTAAGCAGTTACATGAAATATATATCTGTTCAATGCTGTGGATGATTGATTGATAAATAAAGTGCTGATTGACCAGAAGCTAGGCAGGAAGTATAGGCGGGACAAGGAAAGAGGAGAATTCTGGGAAGTGGGAGGCTGAGGCAGGAAGAGACGCTGCCAGCCACCACGAGGAAAAGCAGATGTTAAGATACTGGTAAGCCACGAGCCACATGGCAACTTATAGATTAATAGAAATGGGTTAATTTAAGATATAAGAACAGTTAGCAAGAAGCCTGCCACAGCCACACAGTTTATAAGTAATATAAGTCTCTGTGGGTTCACTTGGTTGGGTCTGAGCGCCTTGGGACTGGTGGGTGAGAGAGATTTGTCCTGACTGTGGGCCAGGCAGGACCAGGAAAACTCTAGCTACAGTTCAATATGTAAGAGTCCATTTAAATGGTAAATCAGAATGCTGCCACACAGATTCAGGTCTCCCTTCACACAACTGTTACATTGGCCAAAAAGTTAGCACTCCAGTGACAATAAAGTGTCAGTATCAAGTGATATGGCTAGAAGCCAGAAAATCAGCCTATATCTAGCCATAACACTGTCAAAAGCTCCCAAAGAAAACAATGTATCAGGTCTAATTTAGACAATACATGTCTTCTTTTTGTAGAGCTGAGAACTGAATCCAAGGCCATATATGTAATAGGCAAGATCCTCAGCTCAACTATGGTTTTGGTATTTGGGGGTTTTTTGTTTGTTACTGTTTTTCAAGACAGGGTCTCACTATGTAACTCTGGTTATCCTGGAACTTGCTAGGTAGACCAGGCTGGCCTTGAACTCACAGAGATCCACCTGCCTCTGCCTCCCAAGTATTGGGATTAAAGGTATACCCACTACACCCAGCCTGGTATTTTTTTTTTTTTTTTTTTTTTTTTTTTTTTTTTTTGAGACAGGGTCTTGCTAACTAGTCCAGGAAGGTCTGAGACTCCCTATGTAGCCCAGACTGACTATGAACTCATGATATGCCTACCTTAAATAGGTAGGCATATAATAATAAATAATAATAATCCTGAGATTACAGATGTGTGCCACCACACCTGCAGCCACAAAGTGTGTCTTGATCTTAAAAGCTAAATAAGTATAGTTAGCAGATTTAATAAATGTTTATATCTCTAATTTGTAATTTGATAAATATAAAGAGCCAATCATGAAAAATCAGCCACCAAGCTATGTAAAAATCACTCATATATTTTTTACAGTCTTCCCCAAGGGTAACCCAAGTGCAAACAGCTCTGAACCTAAGTGAGATTGTACCTTAATGAACCTGATTTGTAGAGACCACAAGATAAGTCCAATAAAGGGCAGGCAATAAACAAAAGGAACTGCTTCTGGGCTAATGGTGATAATAAACTACCCTGAAGAGGGCTAATGACTTCCTGAAGTGGGGATAAACAATCTGTATCCTGAAATGACAGTAGTTGTAAATGTTCTATCGTGTCAGTCTGGTGCCTAACATAGTTGATAGAACACAACACTCACCGGACGCGTTCCATCTCACTAGCTGTCTTCACCACAGCAAAGGGCTCCCGTCGACTCCAGTCCCAGAAGTGGATCTCATTGGCAGTGGCAATCAGTAGAAGCTGAGCCGTAGGATGGAAAGCCAAGGACGCTATGGCATTATTGCTATCTGTGAACCAGCTTTCACTGCCACCCTGCAAATGAACCAATCCCAAGTATCCTCTGATTATAAACTGCCAACAGACTGGGAAGTCCACTTCAAGAAAATTACACTGAAGAGCTAAGTATGATGACTCACACCAATAATCCCAGCACTTAGGAAGCTAAGGCAAGAATGCCATATATTTTGAGGGCAGCCTGGAGTTCCAGGCCAGTGAGTTCCAGGCCAGCCTGGACTATATAATGACACCTTGTCTCAAAATAAAGAAAGAGAGAATGAGAGAAAGAAAGGGGGAGAAAGAGGAGAAAGGAGGAAAGGAAAGAAAAAGGGGAAAAGTCCTATATAGGGTTATATAGCTCAGTGGTAGAGCACATGCTTTACATGTAGGAAGCCCTGGGTTTGATCCCTAGGGCCTATCTCCATTTGCAGCTATATATTAGAGCACAGTGGTGCATGATTTTAATCCCAGCACTCAGGAAGCAGAAGCATGTGGATCTTGGTGAGTTTGAGGGTGGCATGGTCTACACAGTGAGTTCCAGACCAGCCAGGTTGTATAGCAAGACCCTGTGTCTAAAATAAATAAATTTCCATATAAGGTAAAATTAGTTCTTATAGGACTTACTTTAAACATATCCTCTATAAAATAATGTATAAGAACAGCAATCTAGCAGTGCCAATAATTTATAAGACAAATATTACTATCTTCATGTTAATCACACAGCCTCTACTCAGTGTGAAAAGACCATCCTGGTACAAACATAGAGCAGAGCAACCCACTAGTCAGTCACTGAGATAAGCAGCGTCTTCCTTTGATGATCCTGAGCAGAGTACTCTAAGACATTGTGGACAAAGTCCATAATGAACTCATTTTAGAGCCTCCTCCCATACAATGTTAAATACAACAGGTGGAAGAAAAGATTAATATGTTTACTTTATAATGGAGAAGTATGAACTAGCATGTCCATCCATCAAGTATAGAATGACTACTAGATCCTCAGATTAAGTCCCAAGAATGTGGCTAGTTTCTCAGCCAGAATTAAGAATCCAATGGCAAATAAGTCCCTGTGTTTAGAATACCAAAGAAAAAAAGCCCCTAAGAAAATACTTACATGTAAATCCCAAATCCTAACTTCCCCATCTAGGCAGCCAGAAGCAATAAGGCCTGAGATGGTGGGATGAAAAGTGACACACCATGGTGTACGGCGGTGTCCAATCAGAGAGTGAACACACTTGCCAGTCTTAACCTCTGTAATATAGATGTTATGGTTCACATGTGTGGATGCCAAGAGAGTCCTAGAGAATCAAAATGTAGGCATAATTAAGAAACATGTAGCAGGGAAACAAATTTTACCAGCTTTAGACAACAAAAAACTGACATTATTCCCTATCTACAAATGAAAAAAATTAAGATATGCCTGTTAGGCGTTTATCTATACACAACAGAAATATTCCGATCCTTAAAGGCTTCTGGTTTCTCCACACTGTCTCCAAATGACACATAGTGCCTTCAAAGAATAATTTTTCCATCTCAGAAATCCATCATGCCATTGCTGGTCTCTATCAGTCAGGCAAAGCAATGTTACTGAGAACCTGGCTGTTTTGTACCTTGACTTTCACTGTTTTCTTTAACATTCTCATTATTCTTCTGGTTGGCATTATTTGTCTACTTTCTTTCCATTTCATATATATGTATATGTGTGTGCGCACACACACACATATATCTCCAATGGCAAATAAGCAGCTGAGCACCCATGGCACGGATGCCCCATTTATATACATACATATGTCTATACACATATATACAGACCTTCAGATAGCCATCCAGTGCTTCAGAGAATCTCTAGGGATTAACCTGGATGATCAAGCTAAGTCAAGAGTACAGAAAACCATGTAATCACAAATCTTAAGCTACAACTAAGTATTAGATACCTGTCTGGGCTGAAGGCCAGTAAGAAGGTTGAGCGTGGACTATCAGGCAGTTCTACTCTCTAGGAGAAAATAAATAAATAAATAAATAAATAAATAAATACACACACACACACACACACACACACACACACACACACACACACACACGCACACACAGATAGCATGATTTATAAAACAGAGCTTACTCTGACAGAAGCCATTCTAGATTAGTACCACAGTACAGAGTAAAATTATGAAGACAATGATCAAGTTATAAATCAAGATAAACCTAAATTCAGAAAAAATATCTACTCTACAGGAAAAAATATTTCTAGTCTTAGCTTTTACATTATAAACCATTTCCCGCCGGGCGGTGGTGGCGCACGCCTGTAATCCCAGCACTCGGGAGGCAGAGCCAGGCGGATCTCTGTGAGTTCGAGGCCAGCCTGGGCTACCAAGTGAGTCCCAGGAGAGGCGCAAAGCTACACAGAGAAACCCTGTCTCGAAAAACCAAAAAAAAAAAAACAAACAAAAAAAAAACCATTTCCCCAAACTAGCTATAAAGTCTCATAAACAAGATAAATTACATTCTCACTCTCTGCCATTCATCTACTCTACAGTACCACTTTCTTGTCCCCCCATAAATCCTGTGTCAAAGCCCTGGTTTCTTACCTTGCCCTCCCATTTCATCCATCGAGTCTTATCTTCCACCAGCTCCTGCAGAAGTCGCTGAGCACCCATGGCACGAGTGCCCCGCTCTCGGCCCCAGAGGATCCGGACAGCATTCTTCTCTGGGACAACCTTCATGGTGCTCAGGAGCCACTGTCACACCAGGGACCAGAACTGAAGGAGCAAATAATAGCTCCACACACAGAAGCAGCTAAAATGAGGCCATTCAAGTCCTTGTCAGTTGTCCTCATGGAAATCTAAGGAATGAAGAATAATGCCAAATAATGCCTATTCTGCACCCGAGAGGCTTCCATTGCCAATACAATTCTAGCTTAAAGGAGAAAGTGTTCTTTTCCTATTTAACTGTGGTTGCCGAGAAAGGGGACTTCTGGAATTTTTCTTTCAAAAATATTTCATCTTGTCATATTCCTTCTATAGCTCTACTTTACATATGAAAAACTGGACATTTCTACCAAAATTATTCCATTCATATTCTTTTATAAGGCAGAAAAAAAACTGTGCTCTTAATAAAAATGCCTAAAAACTCTACTTAAAAACAAAATGTGGGGTTATGGGTATGGCCAGTGGTACAGACCCTGGGCTCCCAGCACAACAAAAAATAAACAGCTAGGGAGATGGCTCAGTGGGTAAAGGGCTTGCTGCCCAAGCATTTAGTTCAGATCCCCAGAGTCCAGGTAAAAAGCCAAGCACAGCAGTATACTGCCTGTATCCTAGCACTGGGAAGTGGAGACAAGTAGATTCCTGGAATCTGTTGGCCTAGTAAAATCAGTGAGCTCCAGATTCAATGAGAGGCCCTGTATCAAAAAATAAGGTGGAGAGCAACTGAAAACAATGCCTAGCATCTACCCCTGGTTTGAATGAGTGGGCCCCACAGGCTCATATATTTGAATGCATGGTCCCTAGTCAGTAGAACTATTTTGGGAAGAATTAGGTATAGCCTTGTTGAAGAAGGATGTGTCACTGGTAGTGAGCACTGAGTTTTCAAAAGTCAATTCTAGGCCCAGGTGCATGTGCACTCGTTTTCTCTCTCTCTCTCTCTCTCTCTCTCTCTCTCTCTCTCTCTCTCTCTGCCTTGTGTTGTAAATCAGATGTAGCAAGCCCCCAACTGAATGCTTTCTTTTATGGGTTGTCTTGGTCATGTGTCTCTTCACAGCAATAGAACAGAGACTAAGACAAACATGAACATATACACATACATATACCACATATATATAATAAACATAAATAACTAGGCTGGAGTATAGCTCAGTGATAGAGCTCCTGTTTAGCGTGAGACCCTGTATTCAATTTCTAGCACTATAAAAAAAAATCAGTAATATCTTAAAATACTTTGGAAAGTCAGGGCACAGTGACTTAGACAAAAAATTATACAGAAGAACTGTGGTAAGGGCTGTTGTGTAGTTCAGTAGCAGAATGGTAGCCTAGCATTTCTAAAGCCCTTGGTTTTATCTTTAGCACTGAAAAGAAAGAATGAGAGAGGAGAGGAGGGAAAGAAAGGAGGGGGAAAGATTAAAAAATACAATGGTTGTTTCTGAGTGACAGCTTAATGTAACTTTTTTGTTGTTGTTGTTATTCGAGACAGGGTTTCTCTGTGTAGCTTTGGAGCCTGTCCTATAACTCACTCTGTAGCCCAGGCTGGTCTCGAACTCACAGAGATCCACCAGGCTCTGCCTCCCGAGTGCTGGGATTAAAGGCGAGCACCACCACTGCCCTCTACTTCAGGTTTTGTTTTTTTTTTTCTTTTTTTAAGATTTATTTGTTTATTATGGATACAGTGTTCTGCCTACATGTGTCCCTACAGGCCAGAAGAGGGCACCAGGTCTCATTACAGGTGGTCATGAGCCACCATGTGGTTGCTGGGAATTGAACTCAGGACCTCTGGAAGAGCAGCCAGTGCTCTTAACCACTGAGCCATCTCTCCAGCCCCCTACTTCAGTTTTTAAGACAAGGTTTATATAGACCAAATTGGCTTTAATCTCCTGTTCCAAGTGTCTCTACCTTCAAATACTGGGATTTCAGACATAAGGCACTATGCCTGGCTTCTTTTTGCCTTTTAAATTGCAAAAGTAATAACTGTCAGAGTGGGTCATGGTTAAACAAACCTATAATCAGAGCACTTGTGAGGCTGAGACAAGATGATCAAGGCTTTGAAGGCAGACCAGGCTACATGACAAATTCTATGGCATCCTTAGCTGCAGAACAAGGCCTTGTCTTAAAATAAAATGAGAGGAAGGTGAACCAGGCAGTGGTGGCACACTCTTTAAATAGCAGCACTCAGAAGGCAGAGGCAGGTGGATCTCTGTGAGTTCTACAGACCAGCCTGGTCTACAGAGTGAGTTCCAGGACAATTTCACAGCGAAACTCTGTCTGGAAAAACCAAGCGGGGGGGGGGGGGGGGGGGGGGGGGGGGTGGGGGGGGGGGGGGGGGGGGGGGGGTGGCAAGATGGCTCAGCAGGCAAAGGTACTTGTCACAGAGAACGAGTTTGACCCCCATAACCACTGTAAAGGTCGAAGGAAAAAAACCCCAGAAAGTTGTTCTCTGACTTCCACACATACACAAGCACAAAATAAAGACTTTAAACTAAAACAAAGGAGAAAGTAACTGATTATTGTAAGAATCAAACAATAACTTTCTCCTTCCATTTCTCAAAAAGCTGCAGTCTAAAAAGCACACAACCAGATGCATCAAATACAGACATAAGGAAAAATATTTATAGCTTGTGCTGAAAGAGTTTTCTTTCTGGAGTATTAAAATGGATAAGGTCAGAAAGAATCTAGAGCAAGGCAAGCCCCAATTTCCTAGGCCCATATAGTCAGACAAGATGATCAAGGCTTTGAAGCCAGACCAGGCTACATGACAAGTTCCAAGACATCCTGAGCTCCAGAGCAAGGCCTTGTCTTAAAATAAAAGTAGAGCCAGTAGAGCCAGGCGGTGGTGGCTCATGCCTTTAATCCCAGCACTCAGGAGGCAGAGCCAGGCGGATCTCTGTGAGTTCAAGGCTAGTCTGATCTATAGAGTGAGATCCAGGACAGGAACCAAAACTACACAGAGAAACCTTTGATTCATTCTCATGCTATAATTCTTACCGTGCTTTGTTTTGTTTGCTTTGCTGTGTTTGGGTGTTGGGGCTTGAACTCAGGACCCTGAGTTTGCTTGGCAAGTACTGTACCACCATGACACACACCCAAGCCTCTCCTCAACTATAGAAGCACATAAATATGTACACAGTGAAAATGTTAACACAGAATTGCAGGCCTCCAGAGTAGCTAGGCTGATCTCTTTGGTGACCTGTTCAACTCAGATTAGAAACAAAATTTTAGGTGTGAACCTGCTCCAGGCTTCCCTTTGTTCAAACTAACAAATACTTGAAGCATTTCTTACCTTTTATTACTAACCAAGAAGGTACAGGAAAAAACAGTTCCTATTAGTTCACCTTAACTCTGTGCTGAAACTATAATTCTTCTACCTAATATAGAAAGCTTCAGAGGAAAACTTTGAAAATCCTTTCACCTAACAATGCAACATAAAGTACATTTAAGTCATTTATAATCTTACAACAAATGGTAGAAACAGTAGGAGCAGTCCCATTTATTTGCGTGGTGTGCGTGTGTGTATGGGCAGAGGGAGCACACACCAAGTCACAGGATAACCTACAGGAGTCAGATTTCTCTTTTCACCAAGTGGGTTCCAGGAACCAAATTTAAGTCATTAAGCAGCAAGCACCTTTACCCCTTGAGCAACCTCACTAGTCCAGGCTCATTTTTAAAAAAAATAAAATAAAGGTGCTGGAGAGATGGCTCAGCAGTTAAGAACACTGGCTGCTTTCCAGAAGACCTAGGTTCAATTCCCAGAACCCACATGTCAGTTCACAACTGTCTGTATCTCCAGTTCTAGGGATCTGACACCTTCACAGACATAAATGCAGGCAAAACATCCATGAACACAAAATAAAAAATAAATTTAAAAAATAATAAAAAAATTAAAAATCTGCCTTTCTGTCCTCCTCAAAAGGAAAAACAAAGTACAAGTTACAAATATTGTATAATCCAAAAAACTGATATAACATTAAGTTCCTACAGGAATCAATAAAAGAAAGAGTTCCTACAAATATCAACGTCAAGATTACTAAAAAGGCCAGGCAGTGGTGGCAGAGGCAGGCTGATCTGAGTTCAAGGTCAGCCTGCTCTACAGTGAGTTCCAGGGCAGCTAGAGTTATGTAAAGAAATCCTCTCCAGAAAAAACAAAAACAAAAACATGTCTATCAGTTTCCAGGGACCTAAACTCAAGAGTTCAAACCAGCAACAATTTGACTGACTGGTGGACAGAACTTAGAGGCACCAAAACAATTGCATCTCTCTCTTTTATATTTACTATTGTTTAAAAGAAAATGGGTATTTTTACTTCTTTTTTTCTTTCTTTTTTTTTTTTTGCTGGTTTTGTTTGAAGCAGAGTCTCACTGTATAGCCCCAGCTGGCCTGGAACTCACTTTGCAAACCAGGTTGGCCTTGAACTCACAGATAATAAGCCTACCTCTCTGTCTCCCAAGTGCTTGGATAGTGGCATGTCCCACCATGCCCTGGCCACTCCTGATATGATCTTAACAACCATATGCTAGATTTTGCTGCATCCCATATAACCAAAAGAAGGCAAATTAAAATAAAGTCAGATAGGCCTGTGGCTAAGGAGAAGTGTCAGTCAGGTGCTTTTCATTCCTGTTTTTAAAAAGGAAGAAGAGGCAAGTTCCATAGACACAGGAAGCTTAGAACAGTCTCTGATGCCATTGTGAAGTCCCCCAAATAAGTACTTAATCATAAAAAGCCATATACAAGTAGAAGAAAAAGGACATGAAAAAGATATCTATACAAAATCAATGCCAAGATTCCACCCCATTTATCTAATAAAACTAATCACTCCAAAAAGATAAAGTGAGGGGAATCACCTTCACAGATCTGATATCTACTATGTAATTATATTTAACTACTCTACACAAAGTCATCTAAAGTATGACACAACTCACCAGAAACTAAAAGTTACAGGTCCTTCTTGCAATTTGATCGTCAATGCCAACGATTTTCTTCTACCTTCTAGTTAAGATTCTAGGTGCTGATCGGTGGTGGTGCAAGCCTTTAATTTTAGCTCTCAGGAGGCAGAGACAGGTGGATCTCTGTGAGTTCCAGGCCAGCCTGTTCCACACAGAGAGTTCCAGGATAGCCAGGGCTACTCAGAGAAACCCTG